CATAGCAAATTAGCATTCTACTAAGTTTTAGGACGACTTTTACCCGAAATCGCCTATTTCACTACTACTTTGCCCGTTCTCTACATTTCTTATCTAATGAGCTATTTATCTATCATAACATGTCAATTACAACTAGTCTTAGGTTACTAATGTTTGAAATCATAGCAACTTAGCATTCTACTAAGTTTTAAGACGGCTTTTACCCAAAATCGCCTATTTCACTACTACTTTGCCCGTTTTCTACATTTCTTATCTAATGAGCTATTTATCTATCATAAAATGTCAATTACAACTAGTCTTAGGTGTCTAATAATTGAAATCATATCAACTTAGCATTCTACTAAGTTTTAGGACGGCTTTTACCAAAAATCGCCTATTTCACTACTAATTTGCCCGTTTTCTTCATTTCTTATCTAATGAGCTATTTATCTATCATAACATGTCAATTACAACTAGTCTTAGGTGTCTAATGTTTGAAATCATAGCAAATTAGCATTCTACTAAGTTTTAGGACGTCTTTTACCCGAAATCGCCTATTTCACTACTACTTTGCCCGTTCTCTACATTTCTTATCTAATGAGCTATTTATCTATCATAAAATGTCGATTAACACTAGTCTTAGGTGTCTAATGTTTGAAATCATAGAAAATTAGCATTCTACTAAGTTTTAGGACGGCTTTTACCCGAAATCGCCTATTTCACTACTTGCTTGCCCGTTTTCTACATTTCTTATCTAATGAGCTATTTATCTATCATAACATGTCAATTACAACTAGTCTTAGGTGTCTAATGTTTGAAATCATAGCAACTTAACATTCTACTAAGTTTTAGGACGGCTTTTACCAAAAATCGCCTATTCCACTTCTACTTGCCCATTTTTTACATTTTTTTCCGTTTGGAATTTTTTTTCACAAACATTGCCCATAATACACTAACAATGCAAGTACGCAAAAATTACACAAAATTGCATGAGCGGTTCGGTTTCTTGAACGGCTGCTGCAGCTGCCTTGGGTGTTGCCTGGGCTGCTGCAGCTGCTGCCTTGGAAGCTGCCTGGTGGCTGCTGCAGCTGCCTGTGCAGCTCCCTGATGGCTGCTGCAGCTGCCGGTGCAGCTCCCTGGTGGTTGCTGCAGCTGCCTGTGCAGCTCCTAGGCTGCTGCAGTGGCCTGGCTGCTGCTGCAGCTGCCAGGTGGCTGCTGCGGCTGCCTGTGCAGTTGCCTAGGCTGCTGCTGCAGTGGCCTGTGCAGCGGCCTGGCTGCTGCTGCAGCTGCCAGGTGGCTGCTGCGGCTGCCTGTGCAGCTGCCTAGGCTGGTGCTGCGGCTGCCTGGCAGCTGTTGCAGTTTGGTGGTTGGCTGCTTGCAGCTGCCTAGCATAATCTGGGTTCTCACTTTCCTATTTTCTGCATTTTGTATCAAATGATCTAATGGCTTTAGAGCAGACCCATATTAACTAGTGTTGGGTGTCTAAGGTCTGTAAGCGCATCAGAAGAAGGTTTTACTAAGTATTTGGACGGCTTATACCCAAAATCGCCTATTTGACTTCTACTTTGCCCGATTTCTACATTTCTTATCTAATGAGCTATTTCTTTATCATAACATGTCAATTATAACTAGTCTTAGGTGTCTAATGTTTGAAATCATAGCAAATTAGCATTCAACTAAGTTTTAGGACGGCTTTTACCCAAAATCGCCTATTTGACTTCTACTTTGCCTGATTTCTACATTTCTTATCTAATGAGCTATTTATCTATCATAAAATGTCAATTACAACTAGTCTTAGGTGTCTAATAATTGAAATCATAGCAAATTAGCATTCTACTAAGTTTTAGGACGACTTTTACCAAAAATCGCCTATTTCGCTACTAATTTGCCCGATTTCTACATTTCTTATCTAATGAGCTATTTCTTTATCATAACATGTCAATTACAACTAGTCTTAGGTGTCTAATATTTGGAATCACAGCAAATTAGCATTATACTTAGTTTTAGGACGACTTTTACCCGAAATCGAGCCGGAAAAAAGTAAAAACAAGTACCTCCTCAATGTGTTGGGCTTCAGTGCACCTATTGACTATGTCATGCATAAACCTCATCACGTAGAGGGCGCAGTCAACGCCGTTGTCTTGTTGCGCACACTAACATGACACAAAGTTAAAATAGTCATGCATAGCCATAACTCAAGGCAATTTTATTAAATAAATCAATATATCAAGGCTTTACCTTCGCATATTTCCACGTGGGACCCGCAACCGAACGACAATTCAACTTCTTCATAACACTTCAAAAAAATAAAAAACAAACGATTTAGGAACATAGCCACTCAATCACTTAGGTGATGATACAAAACAATATATAGGAAGCGGTATGTACCTATTCAATAGGTTATTCACTAGCAACTTCCTTGGTGGCCATATACGAGCCGAGTCAAAGTAGTAGATTGTGTTATTGGAAACACAAATCACCATAAGGCTCCAATGTAGACTACATGTATATTAAAGCAAATATCAATCCATTAATTGTTATGCGTCAACATCTATACTTAACAAACAAATTAAGAGTGACATATTTAAACTTACTCCTCAAAACAAGGGGCTACTAAGAACTTGTTTCCCGCACGCATTGATTCTCTAATACCCCGCTCAAGGTAATCTATCACATCACGAGGGTTATGCAAGCATTTGGTTACGGAGGTCTGCTCGGGGCATAACCACCCAACTGCTGTTTCACCATCGGGTTTACTAGCAAGGAGCTCCAGTAGTGACCTTCAAGAAAGTAATGTGTGAAATTAATTACTAGTTGCATTGTTTTGGTACGAAAATATCAAAAATACAATATGTTTAGAAATAGTCTCGTTAATTTACCTCATGAAAGTTTGAATGATGGAAATTTTAAGCATGAAACCGGTTAGAAATTCCGTCACATCCTCTCTAGAAATGTATGCGATCGCATCCTCGTCATAGTGGAACAATGCCTTAGGCAAGTTCACTTGAATGTGTACCCGTAGGCAACTCACTAACACGGTTGTGAAGAAAAGTACATGCTTTCGAAAGCGACCTAAGGACATTGGCTTGTACGAGTGGAGTACATGAAGCTCTCGAACTCTTCTTCGACATTTGTCCTTGTTCCATCTTCGGAGGACCTTCTTCCTTGGATTTTGGCTTCTCCACCTTCTTCCTTTTAGCGGACTGAATTTCCATAGTAATCTAGTAGCATAAAAGAACATGGTCATTGCACAAAGCACATGGTAATCTTGTTACATACAAGTATTTACATACAAGTAGTGTTTACTTACCCCTTCTACCAACCTCAACCGATCACGTGGCCATTGCACAAAGCTCCCGGTCGCGTCACGCAGCTTAAAAAAATCATATTCCTCTCTAGGCACCGGTAGTGGTAAGACCTCAAACCCAGAAACTATAGAATCGATCCCGACCGAGATGTAATGGGTGCTAATATTAGACTTAAAATGGACCTTGTCAACTGCAACTGTCCACCGGTGTTTTCCCCGTGGTGAAGAAGCTCACAAGGCGTCTCTTCCTATATATTTGGTTAGGAGTTAGGACATAAGTTAAGAAATAACAAACAAAAGCCTAACATAAGAAAAGCTAATTACGTAGTGAAGTTCACCTTAACATCTAGGAAAGGTTCAGGCATTGGATTTTCTCTCTTCAGTGACTCTGCATCCATAGGACTAGGATCCTGCAAAAGTAAAATAATTAAACATGCAAACGACCTCATTAGACGAACTTTATATGACGTAATTCGTAGTTGTACTAAAATTACCTCTCTCTCAACTACTGGATCGTCCTCGAGGCCTCCTGGGTGACTACATCAGTCTACTGGGGTACTCGAGGGAAATGGCAAAGGCGACAAGTTCATGTGCCTCATAATGGCATTGAATTGACTTTGCATCTGTTCTTGCAGCTCCGCGCGTATCTCCGCCTTAATTGATTCCTTTTCCTTCTCATCAATCCGATGTGGCGAATTAACACTTGATCTGCTTTTTGCTGATTTAGTGTATTCTGAACCCATCACCTTCTCCCACCCTAGTTGTTTCCCGCCAAAACCAATTACTCACCCAGGGTGGTATGGTTTTCCCAAAGCTAAGGTGAAAGGATCATGTTCGATGCTTGGAGTCAGCTTGCCTTCTATCACTTCCGAAGTATGCTCGAGCTTTAACAACACAAAAATTTATCAGATCTAAGTACAATGTACTTGACAAGGAAATATAATTAATAAGTAGAAAAATTTGCTTACAAGTGCATCTGCTACTACTTTCTTATCCGGTTGCATGACATACTTGCCGGTTTCCTTGTCCATCCCATGCATAGCACACCACCAGTCAATTGCACGATTAACCAAAGTTGTGACCGTGGAAGAAAGTGGTTTATCAGTTGATGACATAATGGATTTGGGGTATAGACAAGCTTTGACCCACTTTGGTCTTGACTCCGCAAAGGTCTTACAACCCATATGATGGCTATACAATTTCTTTCCGGCATTGATTCTAGCTTGTTCGCTTTTTTCCTACACATTCAGAAATATATGTTAGCATCAGTCATTGTAAGAAACTAAATGTGAGTAGCCAACTCTATTGATAAATAAAAACATACAAGTGCGGTCCTAGTGGAAGACTTTTCCACAAACTTCTCCCAATCATCCACCGTTATTTGTGGATATAAATCCCACGGTTCCTTATCAGGTTTCTCTTCTTCTCCATCTGCAGGCACATTTTTCTATGGTTTTCTCTTTCTTCTCTTATGGATCCATCTTGTCCTCAAGTAACCCTTGAAGTTTTTGAATCTCTCTTGTACAAAAGCTTCAAAGACTTTTCTCTTGGCCGGCTCATCAGGAATATGGAACATACTCTGTAATTGGCGCAAACATCCACGTTAGGCAAGAGAAAAAAAAAAGAAAAAAAAAGGGGGAAAAAACCCGGGAATCAGGTAAGGCAGTAGTCGAGGCAGCTGCAGCAGCCCAGGCAGCAGCCCCGGGCAGTTGCAGCACCCAGGCAGCAACCCCGGGCAGCTGCAGCAACCAGGCAGCAGCCTAGGCAGCTGCCGGCTGCAGCCCTCGGGTTAGGCCCGGGGGAGGTTTTTGCAATTTTTTTTTTTTGGCAAGTGTGATTGAAATAAATACTTACCATAGTATCGTCCCAAAATGTTTGAAGCAACCGTGAGGTATATCGACAAACTCAAGTGTGATTGGTATTTTACGAGTTAGAATGCCAACTTGACTAGAAAATTTGTCGCGCCATTGGCCAGTAGGTTGACCTAACTCGTCAAACTCAAGCACCATAGGAACGCCGGGTTTCTTGAAAGCTTTATTAGCACCCCTACTCCTTCTGTTCACCGGTGGCTTTACCCCTCCTCCACCACCGGTGTTTTTCACTTGCCTTTGCATTTGAGTTTCACAATGTGAATCACCTACAACTTCGGTAACCACATTATCATCAATAGGTGGGGTAGTTTCAGCTATACGCTCAAATTCATCAAGCTTATGTTGGAACTCGTCATAAGCTTGGTCTTCCGGTTCCCCCATATCCGTCTCCTTATTAACATCATACAACTCGTCACCATCATCATCATCCATATCCTCATCAGAATGAAGGTTCTCAACAGGATCCATGATATGTGCACACCTACAGTAAACAAGTAAAGCATGTTGTTAGTCATCAGTAATGGCAATCAAATCTGACGCACGAAGAAAGACAAACACTTACCCAACTTCTTTGGTTTCATAACAAATTCACATATAATCCTCTAAACAATTCATATATTTAGTTCATATTACATGCTTATACGTTGAAAATACAAAAAAATAAAACACTTCCCGAAATAAACAAAGTTGTTGGAGCATAAGATATTTAGTAAATAAAACATGCATTAATAAAAGTACCTCATTCGTGTATTCCCTCATTGTGGTCAGATCGAATATAAGGTCTATCATCATCTACATCAGTTGCTACATCAAGTGTAGGAGCAGTGAAAGGGGGAGAATCATCAAATGCATCATATTCTTCTTCGTCCTCAACCTCTCCAACCCCTAATATTCTCCTTTTGCCAGCCAGGAAAATGGACCATCTTGGATCGGACGGGTCAGTTACTTGCTTAGTTTGAGATGCAAGGATGAATGGCTCAAGACTATCCCGCAAGTGGCCAAGATCTACAAGAGTGAAGTCATCATTTCTCACGTTGCGCTTATTATTATCGACCTATTTACACTTGAATAGACCAACCTTGAATTCACGTTAATCTAGTTCCCATATTTCCTGAATTCGTCCATAGTATGATAATAGTGCGTCAACTGGTGATGTATCCTTCGCACTTGCAAACTCTCTTGATGAAGCCACAAGAGTGACACCACTATTTTGAGTCGATGAGGATTTCTGATCCCGACTTTCAGTCCAAAATGTGTACCCATTTATATCATATCCCTCAAATGAATGAACATCTTCCTTTGGACCATAAACTAGCCACTTTATTGTATCAGACACAGTCTCATCCAATTGACGCATCACACGATCATGGAACCACTTCACAAACATCTTATTATGCAATTGCATTAGTGCTCTTTCCCCTTTTGATGGATATTCAACACGCAAACTATCCATGTGCTCTTCTAAATATGGGTGAACCTCCGCAATATGATGAAGCACAAATAGGTGAGCTTGCATGATTTGATCTCGAGCAGCCCAGATCCTTTTTGACCCGATTGTGCCATGACCATCAAGTCTCCCTTCATGTCGGGAAGTGGGAAGCCCAGGTTCGGCAACGACAACATACTCTGCCACAAAATTCCCAATCTCCTCGGACACAATTCCTTGTATCATACTGCCTTCCGGATGGGCTGGATTTCTTACTTTATCTTGCAGTGTACCCATGTGTCGTTCAAAAGGGTAGCACCACCTCATAAATACTGGACCGCACAACTTAATCTCACGAACCAAATGCAGAATCAAATGCACCATTATGTCAAAAAGTGAAGGTGGGAAAAACATCTCAAATTTGCACAAAGTTACCACAACAGTCGCCTGGAGAGCATCAAGTGTAAAGGGATCAAGAACTTTGCTGCAGATAGTATTGAAAAACCCACAGAGGCTTGTTATAACTTCACTCACGTGCTTTGGTAAAATACCACGAAGTGCAATCGGTAGGAAAACTCGCATCATCATGTGATAATCATGGGATTTCATACTTGTCAACTTCAATTCTCCATTTAAGGAAACAAACCTTTTCATGTTTGACGAGAACCCAGATGGAAGCTTAATGTCATATAAACAAGCACAAAACCTCCGTTTTTCTTCCTTTGATAATGTGTAGCAAGCTGGAGGTAAATACACCTTTTGGTTCTTTCCTTTTCCATCACCTTTCTTCTCTGCGATACCCGTGGCCTTTTCCTTGCGCTTCCCCTTACGGTTTTGACCACCATCTTCGTTTCCCTTTTCCTTAACCTTCGCCATCCCTACCTTAGCTTGAACCCACAACTCCGGATGAACACCCCACTCTTGCAAATCTAACCGCGCACTCTTGCCATCCTTCGTTTTTCCAGGAATGTTCATAATTGTCCCCATAATTGCATCACAAACATTCTTCTCTATATGCATCACATCGAGACAATGTCTAACATCATGTTATTTCCAGTACTCAAGCTTCCAAAAGATTAATTCCTTTTTAAAGAGAGCGTATGGGTCAATTGGTTTCGTTGTTTTACCAAAAACACATGGAATACCCTTCACTCTCTCATAAACCTCCTTTCCACTCAATGGCCTAGGCGCAACCCCCTCCTCAACTTTCCCATCGAAGGCCTTTTTCTGCTTACGATACGGCTGATCGCGCCTAAGAAATCTTCGGGTCCTCACGTACACATCTTTGCCATAGTGGTCAAGGTACACGTTCGGTGTGTCATCAATACAAATGAGACATGCTTTATGCCCTTTGTTCTTGTACCCGGACATATTTCCATATGCAGGAAAATCATTGATGGTCTACATAAGGGCAGCACGCAAAAGAAACATCTCGTTCTTATGGGCATCATAAACGGTAACACCTTCGTCCCACATCTTTCGCAAATCATCAATAAGGGGCTCAAGGTAAACATCAATGTCGTTTCCAGGTTGCCTTGGCCTCGTTATCAAAAGTGAAAGCATTATATATTTCCGTTTCATACACAACCACGGAGGCAAGTTGTAAATCACTAAAAGTACCGGCCATGTGCTGTGTTTAGTACTAAGAGTACCAAATGGATTCATACCGTCCGTGCACAACCCAAGACTTAAATTTCTGACTTCACCACCAAATGCCCTAAACTTCATATCAATGTTCTTCCATTGTGGAGAGTCAGCAGGATGCTTCAACAAACCATTTTTCTTTCTTCCCTCAGCATGCCATCTCAGGTTCTTGGCGTCTTTTGGTATTGAAAATAGACGCTTTAACCTTGGAATAATAGGAAGATACCCAACACCTTGGCAGGAGGTCCTTTACTACCAGCATTGCAGCTTGATCGCTTGTAACGCGACTTACCGCAACGTGGACACTCCTCCAACTCTTCATATTCATTTCGATACAGAACACAGTCATTAGGACATTCATGTATCTTTTTATACTCCAAACCAAATGGACACATTAGTTTCCTTGCATAATAATAGGAATTAGGAATTTCATTCCCATCTGGCAACATATCACATAACGCAGTCAACAAAGAAGTGAAACTAGTGTCACTCCAGTTATGCTTAGAATTAATGTAAAATAGTGTAAGCACGACTGAGAGTTTTGTGTATTTTTTGGACCCGGGATACAAAGGCTTTTTGGCAGCCTCTGATAATGACTCAAATACATCAGGTCGGTCACCAAATTCACCTTCAACATCACGCATCATCTCATCCAAGTGATCATCACCACCACCATCCTCGGTGTCATCCCCTTCACCACCATCATCACTCCCATTTTCTTCTTCAACATGAATCTCGACACTTTCAACATGCGTCTCATTGCCAACAACATTCTCCCTATATGATCCCTTCTCACCATGCCAAACCCAAACATGATATTGAGGCCTAAACCCATGACATTGTACATGAGCCATGATGGTATCCACACTACTGACCCTTATGACATTATTACAATTGACACAAGGAAAATAAAGGTAATTGACACCCGTTCTAAGCTGATACTGTGAAGCACTCTTGCAAAACTCTTGAACCCCATTAAAAAATTCCAATGTATCACGTCTACCATACATCCAACCGCGATCCATTGACGCTTTAAATTGCCTTTAAACATACCAACACATTTCAAACAATGATAAATGTAACATATATTATGTAATCAAAGTACATAGCATATATATCATCCATATATGGTAAAAATGAATGCTCCCAAAAGGTCCTTATCACTCCAACCTAACCCATCCTTGAACGTCTAATCTCACTAGTGAATGTATGTCAACTTTTCAATTTTAAGGAAAATCCGGCAGCATTTCCCCCCAGTTCTCCAAATACACGATGTACGTAATAACTTACCTACATATGTACCCAGAGAACATGGTGAGAAAATGAGAATCCCGGATATTCCTTAAAATTGAAAAAGAGACATACATTCACTACCTAAGTGAGATTAAACGTCCAAGAACAGTCCCAACTGGGGACTATTCAAGACTTTCTCCTATTGAGAAAGACTCGAACGGGTATCTAGGCAAATGATGATGCAAGCATTCAATTATTATTTGCATTTATTTGACATTCAACAATAAACAAGTTCATTCATTTAAATAGGGCTAATAATTAAATTAACATACATACAAAATCAAACTAAGTTTACTTATATATATACATATATATATATATAGCAATCCATTATATTCATACATTGCAATTTACTAACCACGTTTAACAAACTAAAATGTTAACTAATATATATTCTATTCATAAATTTCATTCAAAGCTACTCAAATTCAAACAATATATATATACATATGAAACTTGGATTAACTACTTGCAAACCCTAACTTGAAATTTTGGAATACCAAACAATTAATACTAATTAATACATATGAAACTAAAATTTAGCAAGAACTCACCCTAATTTGAGAGTGAGAAAGACAAAGATTGAAGATTGAAGAATGCGTGCTTGGGCTCGGTTGAACAACACCCTCGAACATGCACCACCACCAAACACCGGCAGCCTCGAGCAACCACCAGCAAACTCGACCAACCAGCAGCAGCCTCGACCCACCACCAGCAGCAGCCTCGACCCACGACCCCCAAACGCAAATTCAATAGCCAAATAAAAAAAAATGAATATCAATGGAGTGGTGGTGGTGGTGGCCAGAATCTGAAGAAGTGAGAAGAGAGGTGAGGACGAGGGAGACAGAGAGGAGGAGTGAAGGCGGGAAACAGAGAGGAGGAGTGAAGTGAGAACGAAGAAGTGAATAATTGAAGTGGTGAAATTTCGCAGGGAGGAGAAAAGGGTATATCTCGCTTTTTTTTTTAAAATGGTAAGCGGTTCGGCCTTGAACCGCTTGCCAATTTAACTAATGGTAAGCGGTTCAAGGCCAAATCGCTGGCCATTAGTTAAAAGGCAAGTGGTTCGCGCCAAAACCGCTTGCCATTTCACTTCCCTCTTTTTTTTTTATTAATCTAATGGGAAGCGGATTTTGTAAACCGCTTGCCTATAACCGCTTCCCATCACATTTATTCTACTAGTGTTTCCTACCTGGGATCTCATTGACCCAAATAATCTACTATTATTATTATTATTATTATTATTATTATTTAAAAAAAAACTTAATTTATATAAAAACTAGTTTCTATTCTTATTGTTATTATTATTGTTGTTAATTTGTTATTATTATTTGTATTATTATTGTTGTTCTTTTTATTATTGTTATTGACTTATTATTATTATTATAAATATTAATCGTGGCATCAAACCCGAACGCTTCCTCCTCCTCTAGGAAAGCTAAGTCAAAACGTAGGGAATCATCAAATCCAAACTCTTCAATGCCCCCCCCCCCCCAACATACCCTTTCCCTCCCCTAACATGCCCTTTACCTCCCCTAACATGCCCTTTCCAAACACTCTTACACCCTTTTCTTTCATCCCCAAACTACGGGAGGGTTTGAACAAATGGATGATATAGCTCTTTGGACTATGTCTAGTTTGGGATTTCAACAAAACCAATTCTCACCTCATTTATACGGATCACAACATGAATTTTCTATACCTACTAGCCAAGGTAGCCAAACACAAGCCTCAGGGTCGAGTGAACAATCCACCCAAATGTCAAACACCCAAATTCCAAACCTATGAGATGAGTGGTGTACTGAAGAGGAATTTTCCCAAACCAACCAAAATACTACGTCCGTTACAGGTTATGTGCAACGATTAGACATTTTTCCTCTCTGCTTTATGTCAAATCGTTGCACATAATCTGTAACGGAGGTAGTAGTAATTTTTGGGTACATTATTAATTAAGTAAAGATGGACTTAAAGCCAGGTGTCGGACTTGTAGGAAAACTTTCTCGGCCAAAACCAAGGGAGGGACGGGACACCTTAGTAGACATGCAAAAAATGTGGTGGACCATCTAGTGACCCAACCAACCCAACCCAAAATTTCTCATTTCCATCCACAAGGCTTCACTTATAACTATGAGAGAAATAGAGATGAACTTGGGAGAATGATAGTCCATTCCAAACAACCTTTTCTTTTCGCCGAAAATGTTGCCTTTAGCAATTACATTAACCGAGAACTTCAACCCCAACACAAAAAAATCTCCCAAAAAACCGTTCGTTCTGCTGCCATGAAGAATTTTCAAGAGTACAAATTGAAATTAGAAAATGAATTAATCTAGTAGAATTTCTTTAACTGCCGATGCATGAGATAGTGGTTACGGACTTCACTATTTCTGTGTTACTTGTCATTGGTTGGATAATGATTGGTTGTTACAAAAACGCATCATTCATTTTATAATGCTTGAATACCCTCATACCGGTCTTATCATTTCTCAACATTTAATGCAAGCTATTGATGCATATAGTCTTAGGGATAAAATCATGTCTATGAATTTTGATAATGCAACTTCTATGACATTTAGTAGAAATTTGGTTAAACCCTAATTAACCGATGTAATATTAGATGAAGGTGCACTTCATATTAGATGTATTTGTCCTGTTCTTAACTTGTGTGTGAAGGATGGAACACAAGCAATTGATCCATTTAATCACAAAATCAGAAGTGTTATTATGTCTATCAATAGTTTTAACTTGAGATATCAGGAATGGAAAGGTTTTTGCAGGAAACACAGGGTAAAGGCTATAAAAATAGCACCGGATTGTCCAACTAGGTGGAACTCCACCTATGAAATGTTGAGTAGGGTAATCGAGTACAAGGTTGTTCATTTAACACATTTTTATAATTAAAAATTTCCACAATTTGGTTTACTAGAAGATGATTGGGGTAATTGTGAAAAATATATTCAGTTTTTACAATTATTGATAGTATGACACATTGTTTTTCTTCCGTATATAATCCTTGTTCCCATTCTTTTCGATCTTGGCAATGCATGTTTACTTGCACAACTTTTTGCCGAACACCGATCACAACACGATTATGATGGATATCTTCCATCTACGGAAGAAAAATGGCGTAAATATTACACTACTATTCGTATGATTTATATTTTTGCTTCTATTTTAAATCCTAGACAAAAGTATGATGACACTTTTTTATTAATTGATATTTATTATACTAACATGGATTTAGAAGATGATGTTGAAACTTTTAAAACTAAGGTGACCAATGATTTTTTCTCTTTATATAGAGTTTATGAGTCTAAATATGGAGCCGTATCTCGATTTACCCCTTCTCAAACGTCCAAAAACGTAAGTAAAAGGGTCAAAGGTTTATTTGCACAAACTGCTAATATGATGTCTAAGTGTAATTTTCAGTTACGGAATCATCATCTAGGAGAACTCAAAGCGATGTTTCGGAGTGCAAATGTACTTAAGTTATGACTTCATGAAAGGCATGCACGATGAAGAGAAGTTCGGCCTCGATATCCTTGATTGGTGGAAATCACAAAGCACAAAACATCCAATTGTGGCGGCAATGGCTCGTGATATTTTTGCTATCCAAGTCTCCTCCGTTTCCTCCGAAAGAGCTATTAGTGCGTTGGGACGAGTTTTAGACGATAGAAGAACAAGACTAAAACCCGAAACACTTGAAATGTGTGTTTGCTTCAAGGATTGGTTGGATGTCGAAACTCGTTCCCAAGATCGTATTTATGCACAAAACGACGACGATGAATTGAAGGAACGTAGGGTTCTACTAGTTCTCAATCAATTCAATTGGCCGATGAACTTGAACAAGAAGAAGACAAAGACGAAGACAAAGATTAATAATTACATATTTACATTACATACTATTGTACAATTTTTGTATCCGTATAATAAAATGAAGTTATTCACCAATTATTGTACGATTTTTAATTATCATTAAGTTTTTGTATTATCGATTTATCTTATCGACTACTGGCATGTAATAAAATAAGTTATCCATAATTTTTTGTGTTATCGGCTTATCGCACTCATAATTTTTTTATAATTATATGCATTATAATTTTTTGCTAAAGTAATAAAATTATGTATATAAACTTAAACATAAATTATTTATATAAACTTAAACATAAATTATATATATAAACTTATTTAATTAAGGTTGTTTTCCCTAAAAAAATTAAATTAAGGTTGTTCAAAATAAATATATTAACATTAACATATTCATCAATTTTTTTTATTTATATATCGATTTTTTAATATGCATTTATATTTAAAAAAACGGGTTGGCCCGCAGCCCAACATGGCACGGCCCGCCAGCCACGTGGGCCGGGGTGTACCAAATCTTGGCACGACATGGCACTGCCTGCCAGGAATCCGGATCGGCACGCCCTCCACGCCGGCACGCCCAGGCACGACCCGGCATGGCACGATGTCCATCTTTAGAGACACTCCACCACAGGGAGATGGATGAACATCTACACTACACGTGTAGATTTATTGATGCCTGAAATGTAAAACAAAAGAAAATAAGGGAGAAGTGTCAGAAAGACCATTTCTGGTCTAAACGCAAAAAATTAGAAAACCCTAGAAGAGAGGAAGAAAGGATTAGAGGAGATGAGAGGATAGATATACAAAAGTTTCATTTTTAGTTGCTGCCTCGACAAGTACAAGTCCTTGCAAGCTAGCTTACAAGTAAAAAAAAATGGAGAAATTATAAAACAATCAATGTAAAACTTGGACACCTACACCCTTAAATTCACACTCATCTCAATCATCAAACTTGTATTCAATTGTCTTATTCAAATTATTCATAATTTTGGATCTCATAATTTTCGTTCTAGCATCACATTGACATGAGAATTTCTCGACCGAGAGCGTCCCAAAATACCGCATTTTGTTACCAATCTTCCCACTAACCCTAAGACATCCTTTAATTAAGACTGTCCCCTTCCTACAATTGAATTTTCTTACTAGAACTAGAGATTAACTTCACATGACATGACTACACTAGCCTGCACGATCCTTATTTCTTATCCATAGAATATTCTCATCCTAGGTTTAGGATATATTTTGTATAAGATTATCTTTGATATCTGTACATATCTTATAGTTACCTAATATGATTAGGTTTCTCATTGTAACCCTATAAATATTGATCAATGGAAATCACTCTAATAAAGGAGTTTATATTATCTGACATGATATCAGAGCTTAGGTTAGATCTTGGGATCATATACAAAAATTCTCACCCTGCCGGTGGGTTAGAAAATTAAACCCACCGGCGGAATATACAAAGTTTTTTAGGCTTCCGCAAACACACATATAGATTTTTTTTCTTTTCTCAAAGTTTTTTTTTAAGAATCTTTATGTAACCTTGCGCCTCCTACCAACAGTAGCAATCGCGAAAGTCTCCTCCATCGTTGTTGGCAATCGCATACACTACCGCCTCCCCCTACTGGCAGTAACCACATCTGTCAACCTACTCCATGTGCCGCACTCTATTTCCACCTCCCCATGACCAACAATGATTCTTACATTGCCTCATTGGTTTTTTTTTTTTACACATAATCACATAGATTTTGTTTTGGTGGTGGTATATCACAATAAGGTCAACTTTTGCAGATCTCTTTTGCTATCAAGTTAGCTCCTTTTAATGTTGCAGCACTTGGAATCCTTGTGGAGTATTAATTCTTGCTACCTGGTTTCTCTTTTGAGAATTGATTAATTTCAAGCGGTGGGATTTAATCTTTTCTTGCGCAATTTTATTTGTTTTTCTTCAACTGTGATTTCACGTAGTAGTGTAGTGTCTTCTTCCCGATGATGGTTTGATCCCTTAGCTTCTTCTTCTCTGGATCTGCAACTTAGCCCAAGTCTGTATGCGGCTCTTCTCCTTCTCCTCCGGCCTAGCAGTGCTTATCTCTACTCTATGTAGGTCGTGGCTGTTGCTTCTCTCGTCAT